TCTTCGCACCTCTCTGGTCGATCATCTCTCTCTCTTGTGCATCGCCGATCTTCTTTCTCTCTTCGTGCATCGCCCATCTATGAACACGGTTCCCCCTCCCGTCGCCGACCATTACTTCGTGAAACTCTCTGTCTCCGGCAAAAAAAATTCACATCCGACAATGGCGGGGTCGAAAAAGAAATCTACATCCGAGAAACCGTCCTCCTCATCCAAAACCATAAGCAAGGTGAGATTGTTTTACAAAATATTTAATTCTATTCAACTCGAAATCTTGGGGAATTTTTTTTCAAAATTTTGATTTTTTTCTTAAATTCGAAAATTTCAGAATTTGGGATTTGGTTGATGCTAATGCACTTCGAATTTGAAATTTATTAGGACTCTTTGCATGTCTAAGGTTCATAATTTTTGTTGGTATGCTTTTGAATTAGGATTGTTTATTAATTAGGGCTTTGTGAAATGAAGTTAGTGTTTTTATTTTGGTATGCCAAATTTGTGAAATAGCAATATATTTTTTTTTTTTTTTGGTATGCTAATTGAGTTTTGGTATGATTATATTGATAAATTTTGTGTTTTTGCGAAATGAGAATGTTTTATATGAATTAGGGCAAATGTTGTTGTTGTTGTTGTTATTATTTTATATCAATTAACTGTTGAATTTAACTCAAAATTGCTTGTTTGGTGCTGTTGTTTGGTTATTTATTGTTGAAATGGCCTGAGAAAATGGAGTGGGCAATTGTTGATGCCCTTGTTATTGTTTTAAATTAATTAGCTGTTGAATTTGATTCGCGATTGCTTGTTTGGTGTTGTTGTTTGGTTATTGTTAAAATGGTCTGAGGAAATGGAGTGGGCAATCGCTGTTGATGTTTTATATCAATTACGACATTTGTATGATGCCATGAATTAGGACTTTGTATGAATATGCTATGAATGATGTGCTGTTTTTTAAATTGACTGAGCTATTGTTGTTTGTAGTTGTTTCTTATGTTTGAAACTTCTCTTTGTTTATTTGTTTGTGAGAGGGCACAAAACTAAGATGTAGATGTGCCCATTCATACTATAAAGATGTGATGAACAGAACGGTTGATGTGCTCTCTAACAAGCACAAACAGGCTCTTGAAAAGAGTCCGTTTTATTTTTTTGTGAATATGCCTGATTTAGACATTTACATAGTAGAGTCGAGGCACTAGTTAGCGCATACATGGAAGACCTGAATGCCTTTGTGTTGGTGATAATTTGTTTTTGAATTTTGACACAACCGATTTTTGTATAACAAGGTCTAAGCGTAGATTTTGACCATAGTTTAGAGTTGAAAGCCTTGTTCAACGCCTTGGTCGAGTAGAGAAAACACTTTTGAAAAGAAAGAATGTCGTAGAGTTGTTAGGTAAGTATGCTATGGATGAAGGTCGTGTAGACGACTTCATTCGAATGTATAGTTTGATTGTGTTTAGTTGTATTTTGTTTCCGTGTTCAGGTTATTCAATTCCAAGGTTCGTTTATCCATACGTGGAGGATGTCAGTTGAATTCGTGAGTATGCATGGGAAGATGCTACTCGAAAATTCTTGGTTGGCGAGCTAGTTCTCCATACCCAATCGAGTGACATATCCTACTTCGATGGATGTGCAATTGGATTGATAGTATGTATATATTTGTTTCAATGTCTTAATACAATAATATTAAATTGTAAAATTGTGTAATTCTGAAA